AGGTGGTGCTGGTGGACAAGTCCGCCTTCTGCGGTGGCAACTCGACCAAGGCGGGGCGGCCGTGGGACTGCAAAGGGGGCTGTCGCGGTTGAGGGCGGCTGTCGTGAGTTAGGCCACCAGCGGGATCAATGGCGCCGAGACCATGACCCAGAAGGCCACTCCTCGCCCATGCAGTGTCATGCAATATTCTGAAGCGGGAGCGGTGGGGACAGAAACGGAGTACAGGCCAAGAAGGTGGAGGACACCGTGGATCTCTTCACCTCCGATACGCTGAAGGGCGGCGCCAAGAAGCCAGAGCTGGTCAAGGCTTGCAAGGAGGGCTTCTGGGTGCACTCCATGGTGAATTTCTTGACTTTGAAGGTGTTGTGCGGCAACAGCGGCCCAGATGTGGACTGGCTGGTGGACAAGTTCGATCTCGACATGCGCGAGCCACAGCAACGAATGCGGAGGCGAGCAGCCCACATGCCCGGAGGTCACTGCTCGCACGTCTTGGCGGCCACTCCGCACCCCGAACCCACCGCGGCAAGGAGCGCTTCCCAGGCCCCAGCTCCGAAAGTGCGATCTGTGCTAGGCTATGCTAGGCTCCTTGGCTTTACGGCGCCTGAAGGCATGACCATTACCTATGCCCTCATCCAGATGGTGGAGAAGATTTCCGAGCGCAGCGATCTTGCAAGGATCATCAACAAGGCCGGTTCTAGCCACATCATGGCACGATGCCCCAGAGCCGTTTGAAGATGTCTTGTGGTCGAAGTCGGAGGGGCCTGCAGCGTTGTGAGGCCAAGGTGAAGCAGCTCCTGATGAACAACGGCGCGGTGTGCGGCGTCCTGTACGAGAAGAGAGGCGGCATGCTGGCCTAAGCCACGTGTAAAGCCATTCCGAAAGAAGATGAAGCAGGCAAGGACTTCAAGGAGGAGGGCCCTGTCATCCTTGCCACGGGTGGCTTCGGTGCGGATTTCACGGAGGAGCCAAACGTGCCTTTCTGTTTTCTTGCAAGTGGCGGATTGATGCTGACGGATGCTGATGGTGTGCTCTTGGGAGGACTCCCTGCTGGCGAAGTACCGCCCAGACCTCTTGCACCTTCCCACCACGAACGGTGACCATACCACAGGCCAGGCGGAAGTACCTTTACTTAAGCTAATTAGGCTGGTCAGCTTGAACCCACGTGGCCAATGTCACAGACTTCAGGGCTCAGGGCTTCGAGGCTCGCTTTGTAGCGAGACTTGGAGGCGATGGCATCAAGATGGGCGAGGCGATCGGCGCGCGATCCATCGACCTGGAGTGGGTCCAGGCCAGGAGCGCTGGCACGAGCTCAGAGTTTGTCAGAGCCTCTCAGAGCCTCTCAGAGCCTCTCAGTGTGGTGCAGGTGCACCCCACTGGCCTTGTGGAGCCCGACGATCCGGAGGCCAAGATCAAGCTGCTTGGCGAAGTCCCAATCATCCGCGCAGGGCAGAGGTTGAAAGTGGCATGATGCTGAGGTTCCTGGCCGCTGAGGCTCTGCGCGGAGTTGGTGGCTTGGGAGCAAGCGAGCAAGAACACAGACTTGGGCTTGGGGTTGTGCGGGGCCATGTGGGGCAGGTGGCCTGGTCATCAACGCTGCCGGCCTGCGCTTCTGCAACGAGCTCGGTCGCCGTGACTACGTGACCGGTGGCCAAGCTGCACATAGCCTGTGCTTTGCAAAGGAGTTGCGACCCCATGCCCGAGTCGAGGCGAGATGTGGAAGTCCAAGCCTCCTTACCGACTGATCCTGAACAAAGCCGCCTCTGAAGAGATCATGTGGCACTGCAAGCATTACACCGGCCGCGGCGTCATGAAGTTCTACCAGACGGGCGAGGAGTTGTGCAAGGACATGGGCATTGAGCTCTCCACCCTTGAGGCCACCCATCAGCAGCACTTCGAAGCGGCCAAGAAGCAAGAGAAGGACCCCGAAGGCGGCCCGTACACGGCTTATCCCAGCGGCAAGACTTGGGACGAGCCCAGTGGAAAGACCGGCGTGGGCAAGAAGTTCTTCCACAACATCATCGAGGGCTCAAAGGTCAAGTCCGAGCCTTTCTATGCCCCTGGGACAGCATGGTTTCCGCTCTGCGCTCG